ATTGTAATAGCAAAGTTATAAAAACCCATTCAGAAGTGGTAAGCAAAAACTACCTTTTGACATATTGTGAGGTGGAACCTCTAAAGGTAAAGGTATCCAGGGCCTACTTCATTCTTAAATGTCTTGAGCTCTAACTAGCACTTTCCCCACCACACATCCCATTTTGACCAGAAATAACTTCTGCTCAAGGTGCTTGGTTCTCACCCTTCTGTCAAGTACAAAAATAAAGTTTAGAACCCTCTGTCTTGCAAATGACAGTTTGTTATTTGCAGATGGCTTTTAGGAGAAGAAGTTCTCCAAAGTTATTGTAAAATATGCTTCAAATTCCTATCCTGGTCAAATCTGATTCTATTCCACATTGGCCATGAATCTATTTGTTTGTGGGTTTTGTTTGAAGACGGTGATGGTGATGGTGGCAATGGAATTGTACTCAGTGTGATAAATGGCGCCCCATGGACCTCAGTCTGTAGATCCACTGGGCTAACCAACTGATTTTATAGTTTGGAAAAGATGAATGTTCTACTTCAGAGAATTGGAAGGGTCCTTTCAAGACCAAACAGCGAAAAGATAAGGATTGAATCTTGCTGAAGGCCTGAGTCAGTCTTATGGCTAAAACCATTTATCTTCTCATTCCCCTTGACAGAAAATGAACTAAATAAGCTAAAAGTGAATAAATTCAATGAATTGAATGTGAATAAAATTCAATGAAAGTGAATAAATTCAATGACAATAAGTAACTGCATAAAAATAAACTAAAAAAAAAAAGAAACTTAAAGCTTAGGCATAATTTTAATATATATATTATATATATAATATATATACACATATGATAGAAAAATGAATAGGTTTTAAAATAAAAGACATGAAAAATAAAGAAAGTCAAAAGTAACTGAGGACTAGAAAATAGTTAAAATCAAAAGGGCTAATAAACCAAAATGATTCATAAGAATTCAAACAATTTAGGGGCGCCTGGGTGGCGCAGTCGGTTAAGCGTCCGACTTCAGCCAGGTCACGATCTCGCGGTCTGTGAGTTCGAGCCCCGCGTCAGGCTCCGGGCTGATGGGTCAGAGCCTGTAGCCTGCTTCCGATTCTGTGACTCCCTCTCTCTCTGCCCCTCCCCCCTTCATGCTCTGTCTCTCTCTGTCCCAAAAATAAATAAACGTTGAAAAAAAAAATTTTTTAAAAAATAAAAAAAAAAAATAAAAAAAAAAAGAATTCAAACAATTTAGAAGTTCTGAACATTAAGGAGTAATGAAACAAATGAGCTTTGTTTTATTAAGGAGTAATAAAACAAATGAGGAGTAATAAAACAAATAAACAAATAAAGTTTTAAAATGAGGGCATCAATAGAAAATAGACAAATCACAAAATAAGGATGTAATGATCAATAAACAGATTTTTTAAAAAAAATCTCACTTCCTTAATAAAAAAATTCAAAACAAAATAGTACTAAGTTTTTATAGGTGAAGTCGGAAAATACAAAAGTAAAAGTTAGTTTTCTGTGTTAGCCAGTGCTTGGATAAGGAGGCAAATGCTATAACCCTCGTGGAAAAAACTAGTATAATCCTCTTGGGGGGGAGGGTGATTTGGAAATCTATAGTAAAAGACTCAAGACTGTCTTTTCAATCCAAAATATACACTTCTAGGAGTTTATCTTTAATAAATAATCAGAGATGTACAGAGAGATCTATTAGGAAAACTGAAACAACTTTGATATCCAAGTTTGATGGCACTTGCTAATCTGATATATAACAGTCAAAAGGAATACTACGCAGTCATTAAACATTCCTTAGAATTTTTAAATGCTAAAATATTTGGCTCGGTCAGTTAAGCATCTGACTCTTGATTTTGGCTCAGGTCATGATCTCACAGTCTGTGGGTTTGAGTCCCATGTCGGACTCTGCACTAACAGCATGGAGCCTGCTTGGGATTCTCTCTCCCCCCCTCTTTCTGTCCCTCCCCTGCTCATGTACTTGCACTCTCTCAAAATAAATAAACTTTAAAAAAGTAAATTATATATTGTTTAATAATATGTACACATGTGGTAAGACTATTCCTCAAAAGGCAACGGAATAAATAACATAAAATTCAGGCTACTAGTTACCTTTGGGACAAGTTGGGGACAGGATAGGCGAAGATAGAGAAGATACAATAGAATCACATACTCTAGCTAAACAGGATGATGGTTTTATGGGTGTTCATTTCTTGTTATGCTTCATAACATATATAGGTACATACAAGTCATATATTGTTTGAAAGAATTTTCATTTAAACATTGTGTTCAACTAAAAATAAAATCTTTCCTCATATTTGTGTTTGGAGGGTAGGGCAGGAAGCCTGGCTTGCAATAACATGGATTAGGATGTATCTCTTCTATAGAATGATTAAAATGTGCCTCTTTTGTGGGTCACTCTCAGTCCTACCTCCCCCCTCAGGTTTCTCATCTACAGTGGCTGAGTCTCCCCAGGAGGCCACAATGGGAGGGCAGGATGGGCAAAGCTTTCCTCCCATGCCTTTCCAAGCTATCTTTGGTATACCCAAAGCGCAGCCCCTTCATGTTTGCAGTGACATACTTGGGAAAAATCACTTTTTAAAAGTATCTCTTTTAGATTTTTTTTTCAATCATCTTAAAGATCGTTTACCCCAATCATCCCAATTTTTATTACTGTAATAATAACATAACATTTTGCTAGCATTCTATCTGCAATGTTCACTAAAGTTGTTTTGTAATTATTACTTCTAATGAATGATGACTTATTTATACCAAGAAAACCATGTAAACATCAGTCAGAAAAAAAGTTGTAGGAGAACACGCAGCCATTAAATACTATGTTTATGAAGAGAGTACAGTCACCCAGAAGTACTTAAACTATGAAACGTAAAACATCATAGTTTCTGTAAGAAGATCCCAGCTGTGCAGTACAAATGAAACCTACCTTTTAAAATAAATGGTAAGGAAACAGACAAGAGTGTTTAGAGTTAGTATCTTTGTGTGAAGATACTAAAGATTTTTTTCTTCCTTAGTTTTCTTTTCATAATGGAAGGAAAACCCACTCAACTCCACTCTTAAAAGGGACACTAATTGGCTATATTAGCTTTTAGGGAACTAGAGGCACCAATGGAAGTATTCTATGCAAGGCAGTGTGGCGACTCAGTGGCGGCATCAAGATGAGTGTTCCAAGTTTCTGTTTTCTAACTTTTTTGTCTTTATTCTGAACCCGACTGACTCCTTTACCACACTCACCTCCATGCACGACACACATACAAGTAAATTAATAAAGCCAGACAGACTCCTGTTGAAGAGGTATAACTGTCTCCTCAGCCCCCTCACATTCCGCAGGTGGCAGTCAGCCACATACTCCATTCACTGCCCTCTCACTGCAGGTCCTGGTAGGCAGGGAGAAATGAAGATCTGAACGCTAATTGAATTATCTCTGAAAAGCAGTGCCCGTTCCCAGGATGGTCTATACAGCGAGCCAACCACAAAGCCTAGATATCAGAGGCCATCTTGATTCAGATCACATCAATGTCAGGCAGGTCACCCAGCTTTAGGTGGAGGGAACATTGTCATAGTTTAATCACTGGGCAGGTTTTGTTTTGTTTTGTTTTGAAATAAAGATTTAATACTAATTTAAAAGTTTGGTCAAGTATAGACATGGTTGTGGGGAAATGGGAATGTAAATTTAACAGAGCCACTTTGGAGGCCTATTAAAATAGAAACAGCACACTGTGGAACAATTCCCCTTCTAGCCATATATCCTTGAGAATAATCACACATGTGTGCAAGTGGACATGGTCTAGGATTTTATTTGCAGAAATGTTTGTTTTTGTGAAAAGCTAGAAACCACTGAATGTCTCTCATTAGGGAAGTGGATAAATAAGTTTTCATATATTTATTGGGTAGAATATCCACAGCAGTTGTAATTGGTGATCCACATAGCATATGGATCAACACGGATAGATCTACATGGGGGTAAAAGAAACAGATCTTTGAGGATTTAAAAGAATTATCTGTAGACTTATAGTTCCCATGAGGGTAGATATCAAAAACATGTTCAGTGAAGACAGCAAGTTCTAGAATGACATCTGAAGTATGATACCGCTTCTATTAAAAAAAAGAAAAAGACAAACTACAGTGCTACATTCTTGATAAATGAAGATATACGTATGAACTGGTACAAGAACATTCTAGAAGGAAGCACATTAAAATCATAACAAGTATTATCTCTGAGGAAAGACAGGAGATTGGGATTGGGAGTAGGAATGGTAAAAAGGGATTTCGGTTTCATGGTGATATTCTAATGTTCCAAATGTAAATGGGTTGTAATGTTTACAATTACTTTTTAAAAGTCTCAGCAATTACTTTACGCTGTAATATATTTATTATACTCAAGAAGCTAAAAACATGGAGCCTTTTGTAAGAAAATGTTTCCTATGGGGCACCTGGGTGGCTCAGTCGGTTGAGCATCTGACTCTTGGTTTCAGCTCTGGTCTATCTCACAGGTCATGTGTTCGAGCCCTGTGTCAAGCTCTGTGCTGGTAGTATGGAGACTGCTTGGGATCCTTTCTCTCCCTCTCTCTCTGCCTCTCCCCTTCTAAGTAAATAAATAAACTTAAAAAAAAAAAAAAGAAAGAACGGACAAAAGAAAGAAAGAAAGAAAGAAAGGAAGGAAGAAAGAAAGATGTTTCCTATAGTACCACACCCACCTCTCCAGTGGGCTCCAGCACACCCACTCAGCCAAGTTCAATGGTATTGTGAGAAAGTACCCCAGCGCCCTGGCTCACCTTTACAACCCTCCTAGGGACCAGAGCAAATCACATTAGTGATGACTCTTTGCAGAAAAAGTTATTCCAGAAAACAGCTGTCAGAAGTGCCATTTTGCTAAAAATGATCAAATGGCTTCTATCCCTTTCCCTGAAGATTTTGAGAGCAAAGTGTTTTAGAGTTTGGCACCGGCCAAACCAACAGAGAAAAGAAGGCAACACCCCACATTTCATACCTGTCAAAAACCACTGCGGAATAAGCCCGCTCGGCGAAGATGACATCCGCAGCCCAGAACTCCTTAGTGGCCTTCAGACCCCTGCCTTTGCCCTCAGAAGTGAAGACCTCCACGTTCTCCATTCTCCCTATTGTCATTTCAGAGTCTTTCAGGCAGCTCAGCAGATATTTAACACGGAGCCAAGTCCCCTGTCATTGCTATTTCAGCACCTTCAGCATCCCAAAGAACAAGCCTATAAATGGACAAGCACCTCCCCTTCCCTACCCCCTCTCAGCAATGGGGCCCTCACCTCCCCCTCTCCCACGCTTCCTGGAGGTGGGAATGGGGCAGGCAAGAGAACGGTGATCCGAGAAGGGTCACGTTCATCACCAGCAAAGCTGGCAAAGCAGAAATGACCACGGGCTGGTGCACCTCTCGAATTGGACCTGAAAATTTTTGCAAAATTCCTTTGCAAGAAGCAGCTCAGTCCTGGATGGCGGTTGTGCTCAGCTTCAGTTGGAATAGGGAACACTTGGTCAGTGGGGTATTTTTAGCAGCCAGATGCCTCTGTCAATCCCAAGCAGACAGCTGAAATGGTCCAAGAGAAGAGGTGATGCTTGCTGCTCTGGGAACCTTCAGCTGTCAGGCTCATACTTTCTCAAGTGAGATGGGCCCCTTGTCCCCCTCTCCCCTCCCCCATAGGTGGATTGCTTGCAGAATACAGCAGATGCCCAACTGACCCCCTTCGCACATACAGAACAGTACTATTTAGGCTCCAAGTGACATCCCTCTTCTCCAGTATTACCTGGGACTCCCACAGCACCCCCACGCAGGGCTCAGAGGTCTGGGAGCCCCCTGATGATACAGGGGTGCTGGACGCAGGCTAGGAGAGGAGATAGGCCTTGAAAATGAAAACCCTCATTTCTGTCTTTTTATCAAATCTCCCTTAAACCGTGTCTGTTGCCAGGAGAACACCAACATGCTCTGTCTTTCTTCTTTCCCAGGAATAAGGACATTGGAGGGAAAATTCTAAAGTGTCCTTTGACCTAAATGCCACTCTTCTTTTTTTTTTTTTTAAAGTAAACTCTACACCCAACGTAGGGCTCGAACTCACAACCCCTAGATCAAGAGTCACAAACTCTACAGACTGAGCCAGCCAGGTGCCTCTAAATGCCACTCTTCTTGATTGCCAGACAGCTCTTCCCAAGGTTGAAAAGACAAATACCAGGTGATTTCACTTATATGTGGAATCTAAAAAACAAAACCAACAAAGCGGAAACAAACTCACAAATACAAACTAGTGGCTGCCAGAGGAAAGAGGGGTGGGGGCATGGGCAAAAGGGGAGAGGGAGACACAGTCTTCCAGTATGGAATGAATGAGTCACAGGGATGAAAGGTACAGCATAGGGAATATAGTAATGGTCTGTAATAGCCTTGTATGGTGACAGACGGTAGTGACACTTGTGAGCACAGCGTAACGTACAGAGTTGTCA